ACTGTATACACTGACCTTACTGACAGACTGTACACACAGACCTTACTGACAGACTGTACACACAGACCTTACTGACAGACTGTACACACAGACCTTACTGACAGACTTTACGCACAAACCTTACTGCCAGACTACACACAAACCTTACTGACAGACTGTACACACATGCCTTACTGACAGACTACACACAGACCTTACTGACAGACTGTAAACACTACTGACAGACTTTACTGACATACTGTACACACAGACCTTACTGACAGACTGTACACACAGACCTTACTCACAAACCTTACTGACAGACTGTACACACAGACCTTACTCACTTACCCTACTGACAGACTGTACACACAGACCTTGCTGACAGACTGTACACACAGACCTTACTGACAGACTGTACTCACAGACCTAACTGACAGACTTTACTGACAGAACATACAGTTACTTGCAGACCTTACTCACATACCATACTCAAAAACCTTACTGACAGACTGTACTCACTGACCTTACTGACAGACCTTACTGACAGACCGTACTCACAGACTGTACTCATAGACCTTACTGACAGACCGTACTCACATACTGTACTCACTGACCTTACTGACAGACCGTGCTCACAGTCTGTACTCACAGACCTTACTGACAGACCTTACTGACAGACTGTACTCACAGACTGTACTCTAAGACCTTACTGACAGACTGTACTCACAGTCTGTACTCACAGACCTTACTGACAGACCTTACTGACAGACTGTGCTCACAGTCTGTACTCTAAGACCATACTCAAAGACCTTACTGACAGAGTGTACACACAGACCTTACTGACATACTCTACTCACAGACCTTACTGACAGACTGTACTCACAGACCATACTCACAGACCTTACTGACAGAGTGTACACACAGACCTTACTGACATACTGTACTCACAGACCTAACTGACAGATCGTAGTGACAGACCATACTCGCAGACATTACTGACAGACCATACTGACAGACCATACTCACAGACTGTACTCATAGACCATACTTATAGACATTACTGACAGACTGTACTCACAAACCTTACTGATGGACCATACTCACAGACCTCACAGACCTTTCTCACAGACCGTACTTACAGACCATACTCACAGACCGTTTTCACATACATCACAGACCTCGCTAACACATGTCACAGACCTTACTCATTTACTCACAGACCTCACTAACACATATCACAGACCTTACTCACACACCTCATAAACCTTACTCAGACCTTACTCACAGACCTTACTCATTAAGAATTCATCTTGTTCCGTTTTCTTTTACCAAGGAGTTTATTACTTCATTCAGCCCTTATCAAACCCTGTACATAATGTTTACTGGTGTCACATGCTAGAAAGTTGCTCAACATTTGATTTGTTAAATAATCATCCCTTATCATTCCATGTCGTTTATTTTACAGTTTTCCGAGCCCTGCCTGGAAGCTGCTCTGTACCTGTTAGACAAGGGAGAGTTGGCGGACTCTGGCAGAAACAGTCCTGTGTCCATTATCAGGGTTCTCTCAGCTCTAGTAGGTCTTGTTTTGGGGATGTAAACTTGTACAAACTTGCCCACACATAGTTTTATCGTAATTTCTGTACCTAACTTATTTTTTTTTCACTCAGAATGTGTGTCTTACATTTAATTCATGTGATGCATGAATTTGTGATTATGCGAAAATACATACCTCTGGAACTGTAAGTAAACTTTACAATTTATTATTACAAGTTAATATGAAATTTCTCAGTGCCTGACATATTGTGTAGGAAATATCCACACAATTTTAAAATATCTAATACAAAACACAATTCTATTTAAACTGACTTTTATGTGAACTCATTTTTAGCCCACCATCATCTAATGGTGGGCTATTCAAATCACCCTGCGTCCGTGGTCCGTGCTCCGTCCGTCGTCCGTCGTCCCTCCGTAAACAATTCTTGTTATCGGTATTTCTCAAGAAGTACCAGAGGGATCTTTCTCAAATTTTATATGTAGGTTCCCCTTGGTCCTTAGTTGTGCAGGGCAACTTTTGAGACTGATCAGATAAACAACATGGCCGACAGGCAGCCATCTTGGATTTTGATATTGAAAGTTTGTTATCGCTATTTCTCAAGAAGTACCAGAGGGATCTTTCTCAAATTTTATATGTAGGTTACCCTTGGTCCTTAGCTGTGCAGGGCAACTTTTGAGACTGATCGGATAAACAACATGGCCGACAGGCAGCCATCTTGGATTTTGATAGTGAAAGTTTGTTATCGCTATTTCTCAAGAAGTACCAGAGGGATCTTTCTCAAATTTTATATGTAGGTTCCCCTTGGTCCTTAGCTGTGCAGGGCAACTTTTGAGATTGATCGGATAAACAACATGGCCGACAGGTAGCCATCTTGGATTTTGATAGTGTAGGTTTGTTACCGCTATTTCTCCGGAAGAACTAGAGGGATCTTTCTTAAATTTTATATGTAGGTTCCCCTTGGTCCTAGCTGTGCAGGGCAATTTTAGAGACTGATCGGATAAACAACATGGCCGACAGGCAGCCATCTTGGATTTTGATAGTGAAAGTTTGTTATCGCTATTTCTCGGGAAGTACGAGAGGGATCTTTCTCAAATTTTAAATGTAGGTTCCCCTTGATCCCTCGTTGTGTATGTTATATTTTGAGACTGATCATAAAAACAAAATGGATTAAAAGAAGAACTAAACAGATCTTTCTCATATTGCAATGATCGATTCTATTTCTTTCACATTAAGTACTGTACTAGTAAATATGTGAAATGACAAAATCACTTTGAAGGTTGGCTTTCATACAAATCAGTATTAAGTTTAGATCAAAAGTTACCTCAAGGTGCATTTACTGAAGGGCCAAGTGAGCTTATGGCATGGTGCGTCGTCCGTCGTCCGGACGGACGGAAATCGTCCGTCCGTGGTCAACATGTTACTTTAAACAACTTCCTCTCAGTAACCAAAAGGCCTAGGGTGATGATATTTGGCCAGAAGCATGCTGGGATAAAGGGCTACCAAGTTTGTTCAAATAAATGACCTTCATCCATTTTCAAGGTCACAGGGGTCAAATATGTTAAATTCTTTAAACAACTTCTTCTAAATAACCAAGAGGCATAGGGTGATGATATTTGGCCAGTAACATGCTGGGATGAAGGGCTACCAATTTTGTTCAAATAAACGACCTTGATTTATATTCAAGGTCATATGGGTCAAATATGTTTAAAACCTTTCAACAACTTCTTCTAAATAACCAAGAGGCATAGGGTGATGATATTTGGCCTGTAACATGTTGGGATAATATAAAGGGCTACCAAGTTTGTTCCAATACATGACCTTGACTTATATTCTAGGTCAAAGGGGTCAAATATGAGATTATAAGTGTGAGATTAATACCAGGTGAGCGATGCAGCCCCATGGGGCCTCTTGTTTTGTCTAGGATTAGTAGCTGATGTGACAACAATGATGTGAGTGCCCTTTAGTAATCAGTGTCTGACTGTCCATCAAAAATGATGTTAGTGCCCTTTAGTAATTAGTGTCTGACTGTCCATCAACAATGATG